TTGTGACATCATTTTGTGTTTATCTTCAAGCCGTTTGAGAGTTTCATGTATTTGGTTTAACGCATTAAATTCCTTAAATACATGGTATTTCCTTTTCAATTTCTTTAGTTTTAGTCGCGTTTTGCGGTCTATAAATAAAGTTGGTGTCTTTAGAGCAGATTTCAAGGGCGCGATTGCGTCTCTTGCTGGGCCAATTGTTTTGTAGAAAATCTCAAGTGATACTTCTAAGTTATTGTTGATGAAGTATTCTTCCCAGTCAGAACTTCTCAACAGATATGATAGGAATCTTCTCATTATTTACATATAGATAAAAATATATACAATTAGTATAATAAACTGCTATTTTGTGTAGAAATGACTACATGCAGTCAATAACTACCCATTTTTATATATTTTTCTAAATTGTATGTAATGTGATGCTAGTACATTCCGTAGTACTTTTCCAGTTATACAAGCTGATGAGTCACTTAACAATATCTAACTTAAGCCATATAAAAATTGGTTGTGAAAATCCAGCATAAGAAATTCTGCTAACCGGCTGTTTACCTAAGGATCATTCCACATAAACTTATCACTAAATGCGTCGGTGGTATAGCGGTTAGGACGCTCGCCTACCATGCACATGGTCCAGGGTTCGATCTCCGACCGACGCACTCCTTTACCTCACTAAGCCAGAATTAATGCTGGTAAAGAGGTAAGGTTGGGCGTGAGGCTAGCAACCCCATCCTGTAAAATAAACACTGCTACAGAAACTTCAAGCCTCTAGCTTGAAGCCCTATGTTCCACTGGGGAACGTGAAGGAAAAAAGAGTACCAGATAAACTTTGAAAATAATTGATCGTGCCTGTAAAATTGGCATGCATTTCATGTAAACTTACTTGTTTATACGAAATATATATTATTATTACTCATCTCGCTCTGCTTAAAAGACTATACCTTAGTTCGCAGTAGTGCTGACTACTTCTACACATTATACTTTCTAAGAGAAACTTAATTTCCTAGTCGTTCGTAATAACTTCTTATACATGTGTGCATGTATAAAGATAATACTGCTGGAAATGTCCTCATGTATGTGTGTGTCTGGTGACCTAATGGGAAGCACTTGTCATGAAAGTTATTTAGAGGAAGTATGCTGTATGATTGGAACGGGCTTAAGGCAAGCCATACTGCAAATGAAGTTGTTGCAAGAATATCTTGGAGCTTAACACCGAAAAAAGTGGCGCATGCTGATCAGCAGATATGCTGAGGACAGCAACTTCGACTTTGGACAGGTCGCCTGTTAAACATGAGTTCAGATGCTTAACATATGAAAAACAATAATGATCGTTTAGATATAAATTTTGAAAATGGTGCTTCTGCTCCTAGCATCTATAAGCCTGCTCAGCCTCTTGTCAAGGTGCGTCGAATGTTAGTTTTGTGAATATTTCATGTTAATTGTAAAAGTTTGCAGCCATATTTGAAAGTCACTCGATCTAATGGTAAGTTAAATTTGGAGAGAGAGAGAGTGGTTTAATCGGAAGTAGCATCTTACTGTGCTGATTTGTTTGAAAATCTCGGTAGCCTTCCGAGTTTCCTATATTGTATGAGCGTTTCATGCGCAATTGTTTGTTTTTGACTTCATAGTAAAAAGACAAATCGGCTGTCTTTCCAGAGGCTCTCTTTAGCCGGCCACATTCTAGTCAAGACCTACATTTTTTTGATAGTTTCTGAGTACTTTGAAGTTTCCGTAGTGTTTAGATTGGTTTTCCGTGGTAGAGTTGATATCCACTTCCAGCACTCCATCTCACAGGCTTACGACCTGCTAAAGAGCTAAACGACTGCAGTACTTATTTGCCACGCGGTGATGCACGTGTAGTACCATGTCTGAGCTAACTGATCAATGAGGTTCCACATGTATTGAGACCGAACTCACCTCCTTGTCGCCTGGTTGTCAAGGAGCCAGTTATGCAGATTCACTGCAGCCTCGCTCATGCTGATATATACCAGATGGAACACGTCATCCATCGAAACTTTGGGCGGCCACTGCTGCATCCTGGTGTCTCTGAGTTCTATCACTTGTGATGTCTAGTTGAATTAAGCCGCCCCTACAGTCATCGCGAGTGCTCCTCACAACCATGTTAACGCAGGTATAGAAGCAAAGATTAGGTGATTGTATCATGGAGGCACTTACAACTTCGAAACGAGAATAGCGAAGAGTGTGAAGCAGTGCCGCGATCCTTGATCTGGAGTTTAGTGGCCATCGAATTTCTCTGTTCGGAACTCCACAAACACTACACTGTAACCACAGTGTCGCCTCTAAGGGTGAACTTATTGCTAACATCTACAGTGCTTTCCACATGCCTGTTTATTACTCAATCGAGAGTGGTTAAGTTTTTTGATTCCTTTACGTTCTAAGTAGAGTAGGGCTTCAAGCTAGAGCTTTGAAGTTTCGGTAGCAGTGGCATTTGTCCTTTTGGGGTGGAGTTACTAGCCTAATGCCCAACCTTACCTCTTTACTAGTCTTATTACCAGCTTAGCGAGGCAAAGTAGTGCGCCGGCCAAGGATAGAACCCTGGATCACAAGCATGGCTGGCTGGCGTTCTACCGTTAAGCCACCGAAGGCTGAGTGGTTTACTGGAGAGCACTAATGGGACAATTAGTGCCCTTCCTCGCCGTTCTCTCTATCGATTTACGACAAATACCTGAAATGATGTAATATCCCTCCCCCACTCCCCGAACACCCTCCGTTCATTCATCCACGGATTAACCTCCTACCCTACTTCTGTTCACTCACGAATCGAGCCTAAAAGTTGAGGTTCAAACCCCAGTCCTAACCTTTGCTCAGGTAGGTTCGTGAATCACGTAATTGATTGGCATGCACTAGAGGTCTGTCATCTAGCTATCATTGGAAAAATGCCTGTGGTCTTCTTATTTGTGGATCAGTACACCTAATTGGCATCTATTTTCATTTCCACTGTCCACCAGGATCAAGGTGATAATTCTATTCTTCATCTCAGATGCCATTTAAAATCACGCATGCACAGCACCTAAATACGTATTTCATAAAAGATTGTCATTATTGCTGCTCACTGTAGTCAGCCGGGACCCTACCGTGCATTCTATCACGACAACCTTCCCAAATTCTACAAACTAGCCGCTTGATGAACAGGGTACCAAGTCTCTTAAACTTGGCACTGAGGAGAGGAGACAGAGCAACGAGGTGAGACTGCATAGAATGCAAGGGATTCACCCTCCACTCTTCCATTTTGATTCATGCTAACTTTACGCATGCTGTTCAACATACGTCCTGCTTTGTTTATCTGTTTGCTCATCAATTGTCTAAATACATTGGCGGGCTCCTGAGAAGCCACTCAGCTGGTCGTTTCAATGAGCGAGAGCGTTAAGGTTGTCTGTCGTGTAAGACCACTTAATGAACAAGAGAAAGCAAATAAAAGCGAGGTTGTGGTGTCATTCCTTGGTGATGGAAACACAACTGTATCTATTGGGGTATGTTTGATGGCTTTTTAATTTGTGACAACTCTTATATCTAGGGTAAAATCTTCAGCTTCGATCATGTAGTTCAGCCGAAGGCATCTCAGTTAGAGGTGTATGAAGTTGTGGCCAAGCCCATTGTTGTAGATGTATTGAACGGGTATAATGGGACAATATTCGCCTATGGTCAAACTTCAAGTGGAAAGACTTTTACTATGGAGGTATGACATTCTGTTTTCTGATTATTTCTCCTCAGGGTACTTTAGGTGACCCAGACTTTGAAGGTGTTATCCCGCGGATAGTTCGAGATATATTCAATCATATAAACCAAATGGACGAAAACCTGGAGTTCCATACTAAAGTAATTTTTGTGGCGCTACTCTTCTTAACTTCAGGTTTCTTACTTTGAAATATACATGGACAAAATCCGTGATCTCCTTGATGGTAATTTTTTCGATCTAACTTATATCTTGATTCAGTGTCGAAAACAAACCTGCAGGTCCATGAAGATAAAGATCGAGTTCCTTACGTGAAAGTAAGATATAATTCCTCCTGACAAGAATCTTCAAGGGTGTCACGGAAAAGTTGGTTTCCACTCCAGAAGAGGTTTTTAAAGCCATTGGCGAGGGGAAGGCTAACCGTCATGTGGCCGTGACGAGTAAGTATTCTGAGTGTTGGCGTTGTTAGCTGGGCTTGGTGGTCTGACTGAAATATTACGTTTTTGTGCATGAAATTTAAGTTATCTTGAGGTTATCTGCTGACACTAATTTGTGGCTACTCATCCATTTATAGACATGAATGAGCACAGTTCTCGAAGTCACTCAGTACTCCTGATCAATGTTCGACAGAAGAACTTGGAAACTCAAAAGAAACTACGTGGGAAACTTTATCTTGTTGATTTGGCTGGTAGTGAGAAAGTTGCGAAGACAGGCGCTGAGGGCACTGTATTGGATGAAGCCAAAAATACTAATAAATCACTTTCTGCTCTTGGTAAAGTGATCAATGCACTTGTAAAAGGAAATGTAAGTTTATACTTTCAGGTGGTGGTGGTATTCTAGCCACTGTTGACTTAGAATTTCCACTCGATTATGACACATGTCGAATTGTTGTGTTTAAATCACGCCTTTCTGTATGTGCTCGCTTCTTAGCAGAGTTCTGTACTGTGTATGTTTCTGAGGCAGAAGAATACGTCACCTTAAATCATACTTTTAGCCTCTACAGCGACCTGAATCTCTTGTCTGCATATGTTGTACTTATTTGAAGATGACTGCTACTACCTTATCAACCTATTGATATTTTAAATAATTTTCTGTTTTAGCCTCATGTTCCTTATCGTGACTCTAAATTAACCCGCATTCTTCAAGAATCTCTTGGAGGTAATGCAAAGACCACTATGGTGATCTGTTGCTCTCCTGCTGGTTGCAATGATACCGAAACGAAGTCCACCCTAATGTTCGGTATGCGAGCTAAGACCATCAAGAATCTGGTATCAGTGAATGTAGAAATTACGGCTGATGAATGGCGTCGGAGGTACGAGCAGGAGAAAGAGGAATATGCCAAATCACGCGCTATTGTAAGTCATCAGAAGAGTGAAACAGAACGTTGGCGAGCAGGTAAGAAATATTTACTGTAACTGTTTTCTGCTTAAGTTTAACTTGAAGGTTTTGAAATTAAGGATTCAAAATTGTATATGTACTAATTACCGGTGTTCAATTTAAGCTATTTCTGTATCATAGTTACGTTCATTTATTTATCTTTTTGTAAATTGTATCTTTGTGACTATGAATAAAGAATGTAAAGTATTGGAATGTGAACAAATAGCACAGAGGGAAAGTAAGATATTGGTGTGGGGGTATACTTGGAATATTAAAAATATCAGCAGCATAAAGTGACTTTCGATGAAAGCAAAAATAAGGATGGGGACGTGGAATATTCGTACAACGTACGAAACCGGAAAGGCTGCTCAGGTAACCTTGGAAATGAGGAGATATAAAATAGAAGTGTCGGGAATCTGCGAGAGCAGATGGAACGGATGTGGAAGGAGCCAACTACCAACTGGAGAGACAATCTACTCCGGTCACCCAGAGGACGATCACAAGCACACCGAGGGAGTAGTCATCATGGTGTCACCAACAGCAGCTAAAGCTCTCATGTAGTGGGAACCAGTCTCCTCCAGGATAATGACAGCCAGGTTCAACTCAAAAGGAAGGAAGGTTACAATCATTCAATGCTATGCGCCTTCAAACGTCTCAGAAAAAAAGAAGGAGGATTTCTACAGTCAACTACAAACAGTAATGGACAACGTCCCAAAGAGCGATATCAAAATCCTGATGGGCGACATGAATGCGAAACTGGGAGGAGACAATACAGGAAGAGAACTCACCATGGGTCGTGAGGCCCTCGGTGAAATGAACGAAAATGGTGAACTCTTCTCAGACTTCTGCGCCTTCAATGATTTGGTGATTGGTGGCAGTGTGTTCAAACACAGGGATATACACAAGGCAACATGGATTTCACCAGATGGACACACCAAAACAAACCGGATAGACTTCATTTCAATCTCAAGGAAGTGGGGACGGAGCCTACTGGACACAAGGCCGAGGAGAGGAGCAGATGTGGGTTCAGACCACTATCTAGTACAAGGGACTTTCAAGGTGAAGCTAAAAGGCTCGAGGATAGCTGGGGATAGGTCACAATGCAAGTTCAACACTCAAAAACTGAAGGACACTTTCCCCTCAACTGTCAAAGCAAAGCAGGAAACAGCACGTAGCATCACTGAGGAATCATACGTGGAAGACCATTGGAACTCTCTGAAGGTGATTTTTAACGAAACGTGTTCAACGGTTTTAGGAAGAAAGAAGAAACAAGATAAGGAATGGCTCTCAACGGACACTTATAAGCTAATAGAGGAGAGGAGAATGGTGAAAGAGAAAATTATTCAACGCAAAGACGGACAAGAAAAGGAGACGCTGAGTTCAACTTACACAGCACTGGACAAAGAAGTGAAGAAGAGTGCCAGGAAGGACAAAAGACAATTCTACGACAACCTGGCCACTGAAGCTGAGAGGTCAGCAGGCAAAAGGGACCTGAGGACACTATATCAGATAACCAAGTCTATATCCGGGAAGAGATCAGCACAAATGAAACCTATAAAAGACAGCCAAGGGAACCCAATTACCAAGGAAGAAAGACAGATTAAACAATGAGCAGACCACTTCAAAGGACTCTTGAATCGACCACCACCTACAACCCGTCCAGTAATACCAACAACAGCACGTACACAACTGCAGGTTGACACCGATCCTCCAACGAAAGCTGAAGTCTTGAATGCGATCAAGCTTCTGAAAGCTGGAAAAGCAGCTGGACCAGATGGAATACCGCCTGAAGCACTGAAAAAGGACCCAGAGATGATAGCAGATATGCTGACTCCATTATTGCAAAAAGTCTGGAAGGAGGGAAAGGTGCCTACTGATTGGAGGAAAGGTTACCTCGTGAAATTACCAGAGAAGGGCAACTTAGGACTCTGCAAGAACTGGCGAGGAATCATGTTCCTGTCGACGCCAAGTACAATCCTGAGTCGCATCATTCTGGAGAGAATAAAAGGCGCACTGGATACAGAACTCCGACCAGAACAAGCTGGATTCAGCAAAGGCATATCATGTTCTGACCAAATTGCAACTCTACGCATCATCATCACAGAACAAAGCATGGAATGGCAATCAAACCCCTACCTCAACTTTATAGACTTTGAGAAGGCCTTCGATAGCGTTGACCGCGAAGTCATTTGGAAACTAGTCGAGTACTACGGCTGGAAAGAACACTATGAGGAGCAGTTTAATTGGCCTACAGCCGAACATCCAACACCTCCCTGAATGGGATATAGACACAGGTCCTCCGTCTTTAACTGAGGTGATACAATCTGTGTTATATGTTAAATTTCAGGTGAAACTGTCAATCAAGCTGATTACTTCACGGAAAGTCAATATGCTCGTGCTATAGATAATACATGAAATTTGATAACTTCACCCAGTGTTCCCAGCACAGCAATGCTAGACAGCGTCTGTGCTTCTGCACCACTATCTGCTGGTCTCACAAATGTATCTCCAAGTAGTCTATTTCGTCTCCTGTTGGTTATTGTCCTTTTATAATACTTAGTGTTAATACTATTTGTTATTTTCATTTGACATTTCACCTTATGTTATTGAGGAGTTTTGTGTAAGTCGGTGAATCTAGTGACTTCTAACTCCCCTTCCCCACAATGTTTTGTTAATGTAGGGAAGTAGTGATATTTTTCTTTTCAGTTGGTGATAAAGTTAGCACTTTAGGTAGCTTTGTTTTCCCAATGTTGACATCGGTGGTAGGACTGTAGCTGGGGTTGCAGAAGCTCTTTGTGATCTAAGACGAAGCGGATTGCGTCAACTGACCGACAGCATAGCTCCTCCATTCTGATTGTATGCTTGCCTCGGTTTTTATTCTGTATGCGAAGTTATCGAAATGTATTTGATGATTTGTCAGTTTCTTTTTGATCTTGTTTTTTTGAAACCATGAGATATTACAGGTTCTTGTCGTATCATAAATATTATGTAGAATGTTGATCATCGTGTGTTGTTTCTCTCTCAGCCTGCATTCTGGGTTTGGCTTGGGCAAGAAATGTTGGAGATGAACAGTTGCAGTTGCTTTATCAACAACTTGACGACAGGGATGATGAAATAACTAAACAGGTTGAGACAATATGGCGTCTTCAACAGCAAAATGAAGAGCAAGACATGATGAACGATTCTCTGGGGAAAGAACACAAAGAAGACTTGAAAGAAATCACAACTCTTCAGGTAAGTGGTGGTAGTACATGTTGTGAACTTCATATAAATTTATATATCCATGGAAGTGTATTGAAAGGTGATACATTTTAGCCATTATAATTAACTGCTTTTATCATGTGATTAGTTTTTTGAGGTCCGTTGTGTTGGTTTTCATGGGGGAGTAGAAGGCGATGGGTGAAGGTTGAGAGAAGGCAAGACTCAATGGCCACTTGGATTTCGACGAAGTTGTTGATGAGTCACACCCATTGTATGTGAGCGCTAGTGGTACCACTAGTACCTTGTTGGTGGTTGCCCAAACCCTGTGTAGGAAAAGTGAGGTTCTTAGCGCGTTACCCATCGACTGGTAATGGAGTGCATAAAAATGTATGAGCCACAGTTGAATTCCTGTTTTTTATTGAATAGAAATTATTGAATGTGAATACTATGTGATGGGCATATATGCTCTTGTGACTATTGTTTCAGATGAGCTTCTTCTTAAAGTGGTGTTTGATATTAGTTAATGACAATAGTGTTTTTGTATGATATTGTCAAGAGGTTTTTTTTTATAAAAAAATATTATTTTTGCAATAAATCTCTCATGTGCTTTTATGTGAACTAGCCTATTGTGTTTTCTTCCTCCTCAGAGTGCATGTTACTTTGTTTACTTATTTTAGTGAACTTTCAAGCAGTAGTAACAGTAGCAGTGGTGGGAGTAATAGAAGAACTGTGGTTTGACTTCACTGGTGAAGATGATAATGGAATAGGCATGATTTTTCATCATTCATAGTGGATGAGTGAAATTACTGAACTCACGTGGTACTTACACATTAAGTTGAGAAAGACTGTAAATAGATGAGATGTGGAAGGACATTATGGAAACTTTTAGACTGAAGTGTAGGTGTTTGTCTTAAGTCTAACCGTTTCATAATTATGATGAATCGGCAGGTATTAGAGTACTAAAGTTATTTCCCTCTTCTTTCTAAAGCACACAATGACTGCCACTGGTTTTTGACAACCAGGAACTCGGATTCTGTCTATCCACTAATCTCTTTGTATTCTAGGTGGTATCAGTTATCCACTTTCATCCTTACTGCATCCTCCTTGCCTCCTCACCCCCTCTGCTTTGTAGAAGAAATACTCACCGAAGTCAACATAACTCACATAGTATTGTATTGATAGAATTATTATGCTCATGGTTTTGTTATTTTTGTGAAATGTTTCCTCTAAATGCAGTTTTTTTCTCCACTCATTGTGTGTCGTGGCTGAATACCAGTCAAGCAAAGATACAGTGAAGGAAGTCCTGCAAGCCTTAGGAGTATTAGCAATAAATTATGACCAGAAGGCTGAAGGAATTGATGCAAAAACGAAAGAACTTGAAGAGGCTCGAGCAATTTTGCTACAACAAACTCGTTTGATGCATAGTAAAGACGGTGAATTGTCACAGTTGGAGGATACACATCAAAATCAGAAGAAATATACTGAAATGATGGCTAGCTTGTTGAAGGATCTAATTGATGTTGGTGAATGCTTGAATGCTCAAATCACGGTAGGCTTAAAAGTATGTATCAATTTTGTTTTATTATTGAATGGGTTCTTGTTCCAAGGATGTGAGTGGCGTGGGTAGGGAAGTAATCATGGCACATACACTATTTTGATAAGTTCACTATGGCTGTATGAGCGTATTATTGTCGCATAGAATCTGGCCTATTCGCATAAGTCGTTGTTGCCGCATTAAATTACATCAGTGGAGTAAATAATAAAAAGTAACACGATGGGATGGATGGATTATCTAATGACGTCTTTGATCGCATTCAAATGAATGATAACGCAACGCACTGACCATCTCCTCTCGTTTCGCTTTCAATCACAAGACTGTGAGACAGTGAATGATATGGAAACCATCAGGACAGCATTTGTAGCACGTGTTGAAGCCGCCACCGAAGGTACCATCGGAAGGATGATATCACTTTTGAGGGGACTATCTCTACCAGTTTGTTTGTACTTCTGTGCAAGCTTCTGTGTTGAAATTCAGTTAGTCAATTGTCAGTATTATTTGACCCGAACTTTCTGCCTATTGTGTTATCAGTGCGGTTTTAATCCGTAATTGCACAAAAGGACATCATTCCTTAGTAATTATAATCGTATTATCTTTTGTTTTATCCGATCTTCGTGATTATTAGACTTTGTAATTTTATCAATTTGACCGTTGACCGACCGCAAATAGTTTTGGGACTTTCTCACCCATTTTCTGCCTTGATATATGCTGTCCCAAACAAACACTATTCAAACGCCTCGACCGCTTCTCATATCCTTATCTCAGGCAACTTCGCAGGCGAAAAGAAACATTAGATACACTGTCCTTCTACTATAACTACTTCTAATGTTACAAAACATGTAGCTGATAACTTTCATGACTTTAATGCTCTCGATGTTCTAAAATGTTTTAAAATGCTGAAGCCCTGACGTAGCCTTGGCCCTGATGTATACCTGCATGTGTTCTAAAACAATGTGCAGATGCTTTATGTTCTCCACTAACTAACATCCTAAATGCCTCTTTCTCCAAAAATGTACCTGATGCATGGAAAGGCATTAAAATAGTCCCTGTCCCTAAACCTGGAAATAGCAAAACCGTAAAGTTCAGACCCATTGCTATCACTTTCCCGTTTCTAAAGCTTATCGAAACACTAGTACTTCTTAAACTTGAACCCTCCCTTAAAAGCTTTGAAGACCCCAAACAATTTGCCCTATAGACAGGGTAGGAGCACTTTAGACGCTGCAGCCGTCTTACACAACAGTATCGTCTCATCATTAGATTAAGGTGCCAAATACGTCTGCTGCACGTTTCTCGACTTCACTTCTGCTTTCGACTCTGTACCTAGATGTCTCTTGCTAAATAAGCTCTCGATGACAAAAATTGAGTCCTGGGTCACTAACTGGCTGCATTCCTACTTCTCCAACAGAAAGCAGTACACCGTATACAGAGGCGAATCCTCCTCTGCTGCGCTCACTGAAGCTGGTGTCCCCCAAGGTGCTGTACTCTCCCCACTTCTCTTTTCTTTCTTTCTACATGACTTACCATCTTCAAATGACATTACTTTTGTCAAATATGCTGACGACCTGACAGTATCTTTGCCTATCAAATGTCAAAGTGACTGCTCTGAACTTGATGGCTTTCTGTCAGAAATCAGCCAGTGGTCCAAGGAAAACGGTCTTACCCTAAAGCCCTCCAAATGCCAAACAGTCAATTTCACCTTTAGGCATAAATCCGACCTAAACAAACTGGTTGGCTCTCACGAGGTGTGCAACATAGATGGCACTGAAATAGAAACCAAATCGGAAATTAAATACCTAGGCGTCATTCTATCTGCTGATCTCTCCTGGTCGTCTCATATCTTAGTGATTTCTAAAAAAATATTCCGTCTTACCTTCTACATCAAGAAGTTAAGATATTCTGGAATAACTCAAACCTTACTCTTACGATTCGTTTACTCTCGCATTCTGCCTATTATTCGCTATTGTTTCCCCTTAGTTTTTCCCGGGCTACTGAAGAAAGACTATACCTTATTATGCAGGATGTTAAAGGTTGTCAGCAGGGTAAGCAACGTGCCACTTAACCAGCTTGTTAATATTCTGGTCGACAGGCACATGGACTCATGTGAAAAATGGGCCAAAACCATTTTATCTAACTCACACCACCCTCTTCACTCACAACTCTCCCCTCGCATCTCATCAGGTAAAACAAGAAGCCTATATAGAAAACTATATGCTCGCACCAGCAAGTACAAAACTCAACCATACCCTACTTAGCTCGTGTTCTGTGTGATAAAGAAAGCATTAGGCGTGACACCTATAATTCAATAAATAGTCAGTAGTACAACTGGACCTCGTCTTTCCAACTCATATCATTTGTAGGTACAACATTTTCTTTCTTTCTTTTCCTTTTCTCTCTCTCTTTTTTTCCGTTATGTGCTGCTTTGTTTCTTTCTCTGGCTTACGCCAGTAAAAATGACAGCACCTACTTTTCTAACACCTTCAAACACTGTTCACCTTTACCTTTGCTACCAACATGCCAATATGTTATTGTCATAATGAACCGAGATTTCCTTAATCTATGTAGAATTCTATTTATTGATAATGTACTAACTGGATGCAATACTGTATAACAAATGCTGAGAATTCCATTCTGTATCACAAGTACTGTTTATGGAATAAAGCAAATTATTATTATTATTATTAAAACACACGAATTTAAGACCGAGTTGATGACTTCATCAAAAAGAATTTTTTTCCTTGTACCCGTCTTTTTGGTTCAGTACAGGAGAGAAAGCATGCTTGTATTGGTGAGTGTAATTGAATAAAAACGGAGTCGAATTAGTTAGTTAGTTGGTTGGTTATATTTCTGTCAGATATTACTTTAATGAATACATACTTGAGTTTATGATATCTGATGTTGTTGGTGAATGCTTTACTCTGTGGACTTAAGTTTCGTGGTTGTTGTTATTGTTGTGGTCTATGAGGGGATATAAACCCCTGTTACATTGTATTACAGTCAAGAATATTTCGGCTGACCTGTTGTAATTCACATCGTCTTGTCGCAGCTTGATTGGCAGTTGTTGAGTGAGTGTTTTGTCGACTATGTTCAGTTCACCGGCTAGGATTGGATGTCATGGGGTTAAATAGACTGTTGGACCTCAATCCTCTCCGGTGGGACTGATCACTCTGAAATGACTAGTCAGTTTGCAAAACTTCATTTCCATCTTGATTTACTATTTCCACTCCGACAGTTGATTACAATTTCTCGTTTTTTTTCTTTGCTTCTCTCTTCTTTGTTTTCTGTTGACTACGACGACATCAGAAACCATCTGTTGGTTCTGAACGATTCGATGAAGAGTTTACTGTTGTTCGTTTGTATATAAGTAGGATGAAAAGTGAGGCAAAATCACTGCATTCACGTGTACGTCAATTGGAAGAGGAACGTGTACAACATGAACAGTTAGTGCGTAAGAGCGAAGATGAATCTAAAGATCTTCAAACACGACTTCATGCTGTAAGTCAATTATATGTTGTATTGTTATGATGAGTGACATGTGGTTGTATGTGTGTGTGCGTGCGTGTGTATGCGTTGTCATTTTGCTGTTTTCTTATTAACTGGTTAGACTAGATATTATAGACTGGTAAAGTTGTCGCTTTCCCGGAGTCCGTCCATCGACATATGTGTAGATACATGCAGCTACACATGCTTGAAAGCCGGTTAATAATAGTTCAGTCGGAATGAAGGCCAGTTGTCAAGTATTGAGGTATGGTGAACAGATGATACATCGTGGCTCGTTAGCTTAACCACTTGATTTTTAGCCAGTAATAGGCGCCCTGAGGGCAACTGTTTTGTGTCATCATCTTTCTCTCTCCTTGTGTGCCTCTCGTATACTTAAAATAAGCGTGGCCTCTATATGTGCGATGTACATATGCGACTTGTTTCAGGTAACTGAATAAGAATACGTTTTAAAACACTCTCGATTTGATCTATTCAATATTAAGACAAAGGGGGAATTAAAACAAAATTCTGTGACGAGCTGACGCCTGTTTTGCGAAAGATAAAGCACTTATCATGACTAACTAGCCCAATGAATGTGTTCAAAGTATTTGAGACGTTAGCTACTGGTATCAAGTTTTGATAAAGGAGGTCTAGGGATGTAAATATATCTGTCTGATTGATAAATGGAACGAGATCGACTTCCTGAATTTCTCAGTTGTCCAAAGACATAGTCGGATGGATGCTGGTGGAATGTAGTTTAAACAACTTTGATTGTATATATGTGTAGCTCAGTGATTTAAGCAGACTTGCATTCATCGCACAAGGATATGTGTGATTGATGAAAGAAGGATTTAGAGTTCTTGTGTCTGTTCTGTTGAGGATTTATCAAAATACGGTGTGTTGAAGAATTAAATTGAAGGTGACTATGCAGCAGTTTGTTTATACAGCTGACCTGTTACTCATTGGGGGTTTAGTCGTTTAACTGCTAACCATTGTTTGAAGGGTTGTAATTCCTCCACACCTGACAAGATTTGATCATTTAGGTGTGTGTGAGTATGGATAAGCTCTGACACTGCAGTAGATGTGTAACTCTCATTACCAATAAACGACGTGTAGATGCAGTTGGTTAGTTGTTGCGTGGTAAACATTTATTGTTATTCACATCCGACTTAAATAAAGTTTATATTTAGATAGGTGTTAGTAGAATGTTATTTCTGAGAATTCTTTCATTTTTGATATGCCTTTCTGATTTCTTTTTCTCCTAAGTTTGAAGTGAAAGTTGGCACACTAAGCGATAAAATTGACGAGTCAGAATCATGTAAGCGTCAATTGCAGGAGACAGTGGATAGTTTAAATGCGGAGTTGGCAAAACTACGCGCTAATGAACAATTTATCGCCGGGTCTGGTCAACAAAATGAACAAATATTAGCTGATCGGTCAGCCTTACGAACAAAATTAGGTAAAAATTTGAAACGAAAATCAGAGGATTTTGATGCTCAGATGAAATTTTTACGTGATGAATTAGACGCGAAAAAGAGGAAGTTGGAAGAATATAAGGAGTAAGTTGTCTGTTTCTTGATAAGTGTGTTGTGGGGATGTGGTTCATTGACTAGATCTAGTCGAACTTCAGCCCATAGTTCCTCATCTATTTCAACCTGTCTACTTGTGAATGGTATTATGAGGCCTTCCTTCACCGAGTCACTGGGTTGGTGTCAGCTCATACAACAGCCTGAGTGAAAAGTGTGTTCAAATCAGTAACCAGCATATCAGTAGCAATCTCTTAGCACGGTAGGTTGCCTTATTGTCTGTCAGCTAGTGAACAACTGCATGTACGCGTACAACATACGACTGAATGTTCACATGTCGTATCATGGTCGTAATGAACGCGAAACTTTGATGTTATTGGGTTTACTTTGCTTCGATAATGACCATGATAGTGTTCATATATCCCAGTGAATATTTTTCTTATTGTTTGAAACCGTACGAAAAGGTTCAGTTCAGTCTGTTTCGTTTCTCTGAGAAGGTAGACACATGAAAGGATTACAACCAAATATGTAAATATCCTTGGCGTTTTCTACACATAATTATTTAGTTTGAGCGTTATGCGCACTACAGCCAGGGCAGTATCGTTTTCAACTACAGACAGGAATTCATGGGTCATTGGATCGGGTCCCGGTGGCTGGTCTACGAGCTCGCCTTGTAACCAGAAGGTCATGGGTTCGAACCCCGGTGGGTGTGTACTGTGAAGAGACCCAAACTAGGATGAAACAGCTGTGCAGTACTCCCAGGTTTTCCAGTGGTTCTCTAACCGATGTCAGCTCATAATAAAATCCTATAACAGACAGCACGATTGGGAATGTGATTAGATTGGAGAAGCCGGACAGGGTGTACTTACTGTGAAATTGATGTGTAGAGAGTCAAAGCACATAAGAATTGTCAACAATAGCGTCAAGTCAGTGCTTGTACTGTGTGTTTCAGAAATTCTACACGCGCGTTATATGATAAGTACTTCCATTAATTTTTGATTGCACACTAGTCAGTAACTAGTGTAATGTGTCTAGTCCTATCTTGGGTGCAGACTGAATTCTATCAGTCATGTTTGCAATGTGGCCACCATGCTAGGTGACTCGCCATTACGGTGCACTGTGAATTGTTGGTATTAGATGGCAGGAAGCTTCCTGCCGATTGCCTCCAACCATCTAGTACTTCCATTAAACTTGAGAGGCTGCCTTCACTTGAATACTTAAGGTCAGCTGTCTGGAAAGGAGGGCTAAACTAGGAAGTCTGGCGACCAACCAACCAGTTGTCAACCTACTGCTCAACACATGTACCGTAGTAGAAATGGAGGTGGTTACCATTAATGCCACTGATCTGCTTTATTCCAAAGTAGTACTTAACATGCAGTGCGGAATTTTCAGCATTTTGTACAATAATTACGTCTAATTTACTCAACATAAAGAACAACAGAGGTACAGATACACTTGACCAGCATTCTTGATAACACCAACAACTTTAGGTAGTAGCAGAAGAAAGTTACCATAAGAATGATGATATTATCAGTATTACTGACACCAAATTATAAGATGATGGGGATAGTGAGTGTCACCATGGAATTACAAATATAGGAGAATGACTGATCCATTTTTAAAACATACTTAATTACACGGTAAGTGGTAAGTTTCACATGCTTAAGACTGTCTTTATCACGTAGAAGGCGGTTGAGTGTGGGAGGGGGGCAAACAGAGTATCGTTGAGTTTCCTATACTGACTTCTAGACAGATCTACTTGATGAGATGGAAGGCTGTGAGAGTTGTGAATAGAGAGGAAATGTAGTGTTGAGAGTCAGAGAATGTGTATGGATCTCGACGGTCTCTCACATGAGTTCACGTGTCCGTCGACTATGATAGTAACAAGTTAGGTAAGCGGAACTTACCTTACTAACAACCTTTGATACCCAGCGTAATAGGACATACTCCTTTTTGAGTAGGTAGTGCAGGAAAGACTACAGTGTGGTTGTGGGAAGCAATGAAGAGTAATTGGTAAGATGGAGAAGTCAACAAACTGTAAAAGTTGAGGTTGAGTGATTCCAGATTGTTGTAACTTCTCAATGTAGAATGTTCGACTGAGGATTTCCTTAGAAATAGACAGGATATATGGGGAGACGAGAAGGGTGAGGATATAGGAGTGTAGCAGGGGAATTTCTGCTTGACTTATTGTCTATATCAGTGGCCTGTAAGCCGGGAGCAACGTGTGTAGTGATGAGTTCGTTAAGATGAGGTAATTGCTGAAGATGAAATTGACTGTTTGAAATAAGGAGGGGTTTATTTGACGTTAGAGCATTGAGCTTAGACTAGACCACTTTCTGATGTCAGATAGGAAGCTGTTCAGTTTGGAACTGTTAGTTAGGGAAGCAGCTGGCAACTACACAGTAAGGTCGTCGGCATACACATACTGAAGGAGACCGCGGGGTGACATCACGCACCAGGCCTTTGAGTGAGACCAAATTTGGAATAACAGTAATGGTGTGTGTATGTGTGGGAGGGAGAGGGTTGTATGTCTTAACTCAATGCGTTATTGTGTTTTTCATAGTGAAAATGATGAGACTGTAATATCAATAAAAGACAAAATTAGCCTTTTTAACTTTTACATCGTTTCTCTTCACTTCTATTTTAACTCTATTTCATACATTCACAGTGAAATCAATAATTTCAAAATCCAATCCGAGAAATCACAAGAAGAGGTGAAACAGTTACGTGAAGAATTGGAAACAAAGACTAAACGGCTAGACACATTCGAGAGGACAGCTGAGAAATGTGAACAGGCTAAACAAGATCTACACGGTCTAGAAGAGAGAGTTACCGAAGAACTAGAAACACCTAATTTACGACGGTCATTCATCCAATATCCTAATAGTCAAGCTAGAAAGGTTTGTGATGTGTGAGAAATGTTAATGTCTGTCTTTCTTGAGTGATATTGTGAATGTGTTTTATACGTTGTAAATGTGACATGTTTTGTCTCTCTGCTGCATCACACCAGAGTGGTGGCTATAGAAGGACTCAATCGAGATGGATGTTTTGTAGGATTGAAGAGGACGAGAACAATAGATTTTCAGCTATCGTTGAAGTATAATTAGCTTATGCAACTCAACTGGTAGACGCTAATTTGTTCATGAGGAAGGCAGCTTTTTTTGTGGTGCAGGTCATCTACTGCGGTAGGTTGGTGATACCTATCTGTCTGTCTGAATGTTTCTCAGGTTTTTTCTCAGAATTTAGACGTTAAAAGTACACTTGTTGGAGTGCTGTTTCAGCCACTGTTGATTTCCAGATGGTTGGAGGCGGTGAGCAAGAATCATTTGACGTAGGTTTGGTGCTTGTTGTCAATGATCAGCAAAGCGTATCAGCAGCAGTCTTGAAGAAACTCATATCCCCTCTGAGATTGTAACCCGATGCTGCAGTGGCACACTTTACAGTTGAGCTATTGGTGCTGGCGATTGACCTCCTTTAGGACTGTGATGGATGGTTTGGTTAAACAGTCGATGGTAACTAATTGCATATTAGATAAGTTGATTGCAAATATCACACAGTGATTGCCATAATAATAACTGGATGACGTTTAGAGCACAAATCACTACTCGTAACCATATTAGTTTATTCGCACATCATGACTATGTGCAGCAAACTTCATTCAGTTATTAATCAATACTGCATCAGGGTGTGATATTTGAAATAGACCTATTTAATAACGAATTACATTCTACGACGGTGTTCAAGTTCTGCACTTACATTAGTAACTACTGTCATGCGTCCAGTCCTTCGTTTGTTGCAGACTTTAGTTACTACCTTGTGTCCAATCAAAGTACTGTTGGCTTTGTTTTTTATTAAGAAATGTAATCTGTCCTCAAAAGACCTACCAAAATGTAGCTACTGTGAGGACTATTTATAATGTTTAGTGAACTTAGGCGAATAGTCGTCAAAGGACTGCGAAAGAATTCGTGTCTCATGTCGTGGTGTAGGTAATTGTTGGTTTAAGCGGGTTCTCCTTTGAGCCGTGTACTCTGGGGTCGTAATCCTTCTCCACCTAATTGATTCTGCTAATGGTTGTGGCTGATAGCCTGCTACATTGATAAACTCGTCTTGGGTAAGTGGATTCTCACAAATCTGTTCCTTTACGTTCCCATTGCAACATAGGGGGTTCCAAGCTAGAGGTTTGAAGTTTTGGTAGCAGTGTTGTTTACTTTTATAGGATGGGGCTGCTAGCCTCATGTCCAGCCTCCCTCTTTACCAGTCTTATTACTGGCCTACTGAGGTAAAGTAGTGTGTCCGTGACCGGGGAATGAACCCTGGACCACATAAGGTGTGGTCGGTGGGCATTCTACCGCACTTTATCACATTATTGATTGCTTGATGGTTGTTCATATATATAGTTTTATAAGATTTGAACACTGGATTCAAGTGTAAAATTCCATGTTAGTTATTTTAAATGTGCCGATTTCTCTTTTAGTCTGCAAATCGTTTGAATGCACCGACAGCGGCTGAAAAAGCTGCAGGTAACCAGCAAGACGGCAATATGGCCAGTCAACAACAACAACAAATCTTCGAAAGTATATTGTTAGATGATGAGGACGATGAACCAGGTCATGCTGGTTCACTGGCTCAAGGAGAGACTACCTCCTTCCCTGAAGAAGAACTAGACAAGTTGAGAAAAAACAATGCTATGCTACGTTTCGAACTTTTAAAAACGAAAGAACGTCTTAAGGTTAGTTAGTTGGTCAGTAATTATCATTACAGTTTCTCTCTCTTGTCCTTTAAATGAAAAACAGACTTTTCATTGTTGATTTCATCCACTAACTGACATAAGCATTGGGATTTCGTTATGCAACTAAGACCTTGGAAATAACGAGGCGACCTCGTTTGTGACCATTCAGCCATTGCGATGGAATTTAGTCACCACCTATGAATTCTAACTACTGCCAAATAGTTATATCGATGACCATCATGGAGATGGCTGGTTTGGCATTTGCCGCTAATTTATGGCTGTGATGAGTTAGGCATGGTCATTGGATGTGGAAGACATGAAAAGACCGGTTAGTTGTCTTTGATCATAGGTGTCTGTGTTCTTTCGCCGCTGTTAGCTGGTATAATATGGCGTGTAATGTTACGGTTGGAAGTCGATTTTTAGGTAAGGAGGTAGAATTAGTCTCCGAGGTTGTGAAGCTAAACCGATTGAGATAATTAGGACATGTGTTACGAATGTCTAGCCACCAGTTGCCTTCCTTGACGGGTAGTGTTAGCTGCTGACATATGCTGGATCAAGTTGAAAAAGAGGCAGTGATGGTCAAACGAGAAAACCTGTCTTCGTCAGTCAATGAAATCCATAACAGTTAGTTTGAGCTAGCCAACTAGCCAGACACGTAGCAATGTGTAGATTGCTGTCTGGTTGATGTCCTCGGGATGGTAGGAACCAATGATGGCTGGAGACAATTGGTGGTATGGCTCAAAATCTTCGTTCTCAGTGATGGCTAGCGCAGATGCATTCACTCTTTGTGATTTGTCATGTCCAACAAAACTGTATTGTTTCTTCCATATTACTATTCATTTTACCTAGCTCACACTTGTGTTTACTATCTGTCTTTTGATGAATCTCTCTTTACTGTCTTGGTTTGTGTGCTACATGGAGGGAGAGTGGCAACTTGAACTAGTGTATGTCTGTGCAAAGTTTTATGTTGAAACTAGTCAGTCAGTCGTTGATCGTCCGCGAAGCACACAGACATGTTATCAAGACTTTGTTTATGCAGCTGTACCTCTATCTGATAAGCGATAGCCTTCGAGATAGCAGATGTGTGGCCTACATATGAGCGAAATGATTGGTACTTCTCACCGAGTTAGTCAGTTAGTTAGTTATGCCTGACACATAATTGATGTGTTATGAAGGAATATTGTGTATATGGAATCCAGAAAAGTGAACTGATCTGAACTGAGTTTTCGATGTAGATCATCATTGTACAAAATACAACAGTTCCAACTGGCTAAACCTCTCAGATGTACGCATAAACAAACTGAAGTGTTGGAGAGAAGGGATGACTACATCGAGAATAATGGATCCTTGATAGATTACAAAAATGTGAGTGGATGCGCATCATTGAAAGTAATTTTTGAGCCATCTAAGCAAGAATTTGTAGCGCCATCAAGGTAGTGCGTCATAGCCTGTCTCATAGTTGTTCACCAGGAGGCTGATGGATACAACGATTTGAATCCAGCCAGCCAGCCAGTCACCTGGCCCTGAGCCTAATTCAACTTGAGCAGCTGGGTGGCTAGTAGCATCGTGGGAAGTCTTAATTTTTTGTCGATGTACATACCTTAAAACTTTTGGAGTTGATGTTATTAAGTGTTAGAGAGGTAGACTGTCTTTCAGTAATTCTTAGTTTGTATGCTTTGTGCTGACTGGTCTTGACTGACACCATAGTTTTCAGTGTCACTCGAGAAATAATGTATTCACGTTCAAGAGTTATTTTGTAGAGATCCGATTTGTTTGAAGTTTGACACGAGTTAACGAATTATTGGAAAACCAGGGTAGTGTACTGGACAGTTGTTTTGTTTTAGCTAGTTTGGGACTGTCCAGCAGTACGCATCCATTGGTATTTGAACTCTGAGGACCATTCAGTTCTGGTCACTAGTAACTGGACAAATCCTGGCCACGGATGACATTGGCTGGTGACAGTCGCGGTAAAATTACGATTTGGAACAGGTTAGAATTCATAAGGCATTGGATTGGATCCCAGTGCCGGAATGGCCTGTGAGCTTGACTTGTGACCGGTAGTTCCAGGGTGCGTTCTGCTGAATAGTCCGAAGCTGAGGTGGAACAGACCCGCAGTACTCACATCCGGGTTCTCCAATGGTTCTCTGAGTGATGTTACCTTGTGATAAAAACTGCAATGTAGTCATCATTAAATTTCAAAGGGAAGTAAGTGTTTGAAGTCTCATGTGAATAATAATAATGTGTGGAGAAATTAGTGGATAGGTGAAATTGATCTACGGGAAATTGAATCTCCAAATCTCACTATTGTTCATAGTGGCATAAATGAAGGGCTTTAAGGGTTCTGTGGACACTGAGATATTATTACTGTGTGAGGACAATTTTTCACTAACAAGCATTCTAATGATACAGATGAGAAATCTTTTAAACATCAATGATTATATCGCCACCTATTTTGTTATGTTTTCTTCTTGTAGTATACTCAGGTGCGTGAACAGTGCCTATGGAAATTGGCTGAGGAAGAAGATTGGCTTCATCGTAAACGTGATTTAGAACGTATTAAATAGATTCGGCGTCAACGCTATATCACTAGACGTCGCGGTCAATCACAAATCGCTAAACCTATATGTGCTGGACATCCACCAGTGTCCTCTGCTGTCGGTGGTAGGACAACAGTGAACCAACCAAATATTCCGGAATTGTCATAATCTCTTAGATACGTGATGATTATTTTTCTATATGTACGTATACTTTCCTTCAGAGTTTCACCTTGGTAGGCTATTGATGAAGAGCCCCTTATGCTGCGTATGAATGTGTGTATAAATTTGATTTTTCTCTTTTCTATCTTTATAATTTATATTTTTTTATCTCACTTTTTTTTAACACATCTGTGGTTGGGATAAAGTGGTATGCGTGAATGGGGGAGGGAGGGAGGCAGGGAACACACAATTTGTAAATATCATTACTGCTGCTATCACAGGAACACTTGACTTTTCCATCACATCTGTTATCGATAGAATTATTATTATTATTATTATTATTATTATTATTCAATCGGTGGATGTTGACTAGCAGTGGAATCCACGATGCACATTTCGTCGTATTTGGGACTCATCAACTGGATGTACCTGCATTCCCAGTGAGTGATGATATTCCCACCGAGGCTCGAAACCAGTGTCCATAGTTTCAAACGCTAAAGCGTTATCCATTAAACCACTTGGACCACGAGAGCCACCTCTTGTGCAACGCGTCATATTAATTTTAATTGAATTTTAGATTTTCCCGTCGATTGATTGGACCGAAGTACTCGAACTCGAGCTGACATGTCGGCTTCTTGTGCAGATGCTTCGACGATGTCTTGGCGTCGTTGACCCGAGTGGTCTAGTGAGTAACGCCTTGGCGTTTGAAACTATGGGCACTGGGTTCGAGCCTCGTTAAGAAGATCATCACTCACTGCCTGGGGAATGCAAGTACATTCAGTTGACGAGTCCTAAATAGGACGAAATGCGCATCCTGGATTCCACTACTAGTCCTCATCCACCAATTAAATTCTAATTACATACCCAGACATCGTCGAAGCACCAACCTGAGACCGGGTACACTGTTCCAATAAATCAACGGGAAATCTGAAATTCAGCTATTATTATTATGACTGATTGCACAGTTTTATGATCCTGCTGCCGATGATACGACCGTGATCTTATAATTTGGTGTCAGTAATACTGATAATATCATCATTCTTATGGTAACTTTCTTCTGCTACTACCTAAAGTTGTTGGTGTTATCAAGAATGCTTGTCAAGTGTATCTGTACTTGTTGTTCTTTATGTTGAGTAAATTAGACGCAATATTGTATGAAATGCTGGAATCTTCACACCCTAAGATAAAGAATAAAGCAAATCACCATTATTAGATAATTGCATCATCAGTCCAGCTATTTATGAAGAATTCTAGAAAAACCCTCATGAAATCAGGAATATAAAGTAGACAATCAGAGCTTTGCAATTAAAACTCATCTAGCCAAGAGAACAACAAAGAATAAAATAGTTTCTTAATGTAGGATTTTCACTCCCTAACCCGTTGAGTAAGGTCGGTAAACGGTGGGTGAAACGTTAGCAAACTCACTCCACTGCTACTGAAACTGCTAAGCTTGAAGCCATATGTTTCATACGGAAAGTAAGGGAATAAAACAAAAATTATAATAGAAAGATCTCATCAGGTCTAACTCTCCGATATACCAACATAACTGTGCAAATGACTATCTAAATATAAACTAATCACGGTCGTATCATCGGCAGCAGGATCATAAAACTGTGCAATCAGTCATAATAATAATAGCTGAATTTCAGATTTCCCGTTGATTTATTGGAACAGTGTACCCGGTCTCAGGTTGGTGCTTCGACGATGTCTGGGTATGTAATTAGAATTTAATTGGTGGATGAGGACTAGTAGTGGAATCCAGGATGCGCATTTCGTCCTATTTAGGACTCGTCAACTGAATGTACTTGCATTCCCCAGGCAGTGAGTGATGATCTTCTTAACGAGGCTCGAACCCAGTGCCCATAGTTTCAAACGCCAAGGCGTTACTCACTAGACCACTCGGGTCAACGACGCCAAGACATCGTCGAAGCATCTGCACAAGAAGCCGACATGTCAGCTCGAGTTCGAGTACTTCGGTCCAATCAATCGACGGGAAAATCTAAAATTCAATTAAAATTAATATGACGCGTTGCACAAGAGGTGGCTCTCGTGGTCCAAGTGGTTTAATGGATAACGCTTTAGCGTTTGAAACTATGGACACTGGTTTCGAGCCTCGGTGGGAATATCATCACTCACTGGGAATGCAGGTACATCCAGTTGATGAGTCCCAAATACGACGAAATGTGCATCGTGGATTCCACTGCTAGTCAACATCCACCGATTGAATAATAATAATAATAATAATAATTCTATCGATAACAGATGTGATGGAAAAGTCAAGTGTTCCTGTGATAGCAGCAGTAATGATATTTACAAATTGTGTGTTCCCTGCCTCCCTCCCTCCCCCATTCACGCATACCACTTTATCCCAACCACAGATGTGTTAAAAAAAAGTGAGATAAAAAAATATAAATTATAAAGATAGAAAAGAGAAAAATCAAATTTATACACACATTCATACGCAGCATAAGGGGCTCTTCATCAATAGCCTACCAAGGTGAAACTCTGAAGGAAAGTATACGTACATATAGAAAAATAATCATCACGTATCTAAGAGATTATGACAATTCCGGAATATTTGGTTGGTTCACTGTTGTCCTACCACCGACAGCAGAGGACACTGGTGGATGTCCAGCACATATAGGTTTAGCGATTTGTGATTGACCGCGACGTCTAGTGATATAGCGTTGACGCCGAATCTATTTAATACGTTCTAAATCACGTTTACGATGAAGCCAATCTTCTTCCTCAGCCAATTTCCATAGGCACTGTTCACGCACCTGAGTATACTACAAGAAGAAAACATAACAAAATAGGTGGCGATATAATCATTGATGTTTAAAAGATTTCTCATCTGTATCATTAGAATGCTTGTTAGTGAAAAATTGTCCTCACACAGTAATAATATCTCAGTGTCCACAGAACCCTTAAAGCCCTTCATTTATGCCACTATGAACAATAGTGAGATTTGGAGATTCAATTTCCCGTAGATCAATTTCACCTATCCACTAATTTCTCCACACATTATTATTATTCACATGAGACTTCAAACACTTACTTCCCTTTGAAATTTAATGATGACTACATTGCAGTTTTTATCACAAGGTAACATCACTCAGAGAACCATTGGAGAACCCGGATGTGAGTACTGCGGGTCTGTTCCACCTCAGCTTCGGACTATTCAGCAGAACGCACCCTGGAACTACCGGTCACAAGTCAAGCTCACAGGCCATTCCGGCACTGGGATCCAATCCAATGCCTTATGAATTCTAACCTGTTCCAAATCGTAATTTTACCGCGACTGTCACCAGCCAATGTCATCCGTGGCCAGGATTTGTCCAGTTACTAGTGACCAGAACTGAATGGTCCTCAGAGTTCAAATACCAATGGATGCGTACTGCTGGACAGTCCCAAACTAGCTAAAACAAAACAACTGTCCAGTACACTACCCTGGTTTTCCAATAATTCGTTAACTCGTGTCAAACTTCAAACAAATCGGATCTCTACAAAATAACTCTTGAACGTGAATACATTATTTCTCGAGTGACACTGAAAACTATGGTGTCAGTCAAGACCAGTCAGCACAAAGCATACAAACTAAGAATTACTGAAAGACAGTCTACCTCTCTAACACTTAATAACATCAACTCCAAAAGTTTTAAGGTATGTACATCGACAAAAAATTAAGACTTCCCACGATGCTACTAGCCACCCAGCTGCTCAAGTTGAATTAGGCTCAGGGCCAGGTGACTGGCTGGCTGGCTGGATTCAAATCGTTGTATCCATCAGCCTCCTGGTGAACAACTATGAGACAGGCTATGACGCACTACCTTGATGGCGCTACAAATTCTTGCTTAGATGGCTCAAAAATTACTTTCAATGATGCGCATCCACTCACATTTTTGTAATCTATCAAGGATCCATTATTCTCGATGTAGTCATCCCTTCTCTCCAACACTTCAGTTTGTTTATGCGTACATCTGAGAGGTTTAGCCAGTTGGAACTGTTGTATTTTGTACAATGATGATCTACATCGAAAACTCAGTTCAGATCAGTTCACTTTTCTGGATTCCATATACACAATATTCCTTCATAACACATCAATTATGTGTCAGGCATAACTAACTAACTGACTAACTCGGTGAGAAGTACCAATCATTTCGCTCATATGTAGGCCACACATCTGCTATCTCGAAGGCTATCGCTTATCAGATAGAGGTACAGCTGCATAAACAAAGTCTTGATAACATGTCTGTGTGCTTCGCGGACGATCAACGACTGACTGACTAGTTTCAACATAAAACTTTGCACAGACATACACTAGTTCAAGTTGCCACTCTCCCTCCATGTAGCACACAAACCAAGACAGTAAAGAGAGATTCATCAAAAGACAGATAGTAAACACAAGTGTGAGCTAGGTAAAATGAATAGTAATATGGAAGAAACAATACAGTTTTGTTGGACATGACAAATCACTCTGTTCTGTTTTCTGCCGTCCTCTTCAGCTGGGTCCACGTTTGACCAAGCTCTCTCATCTCTTCCTCACACGATCTCCTCCAAGTCACCCTCACACTGACTACCCACTCGTCGCTTCCCATTGAGATTCCACTCGAGCGATGGCCTGGCGTGTGGTGTCGTTCGGCAGCTTCCTCGATGTACGCCCGATCCACCTCCACCATCTCCTACATATTTGTTGAGCGATGGGCTCTTGGTTGGTTTGTTGCCAGCCAGAGATTCTCGTTGATAACTTTTCTGGCCATTTGATCTTCAGTATGGAGCTAAGGCAGCTGTTGATGAGAGTCTTCAACCTGTTGGGAATACCCAGCGTAATAGGACATACTCCTTTTTGAGTAGGTAGTGCAGGAAAG